TTTGATCATATTTCACCGTACGGAACGGTTAATTCAAAAGTTTGTTTTGGCCCCAAACAGTGACAGAAAAATACTGCAAAGTTACCTGTTTATGTAGTTCTGGACTATGTTTTAAAACGAGTGTTTTTGCAGCTAATTTATAGTGTAAGCCAGGACTTTGAGGTCGCTCCTGTTTAGCGCTCGATATTGATATCACGCGTATAGATCATCAACGGCCGATTCCCTTGATTTCCTTTCAGTTTCTGAAACCCAGTGATATAATAAATATCTTATTAAGCTCGTTTTGATCCTCGACCTGAACCTCGAATTTCGGGGAAGCGCACAGGGCTACAGATCATCATAGATCTTACATTAGGTAACTCGAACTCGGTTGGTGAGAGGTATCTATTGTATTAAATTGTAAGCACTAACAACCCCTACACAACCAACCGTCCCTCTTTTACACAATCTAAACGAATTCATGTGTACAGGGTTGCAATAGACTGGTGCCTGAACACGTCGAGCATGTGGAAAAGCTTAGGAGTCTCAAACACGTCAGTCTTGCTCCAGTCTTGAAAGTTATGCGCCATGACTCAATGGAGCGCCCCAGTTGTAACCTTAAGGAGTACGCTCTCGACAGACGATGTAATCTGGAGGACATGGTCATGTTCCTGTCTCAGGTGGCGTCTGCTTTTCATTATCTCCATGCCAACCACATTCTACATGGAGATCTACGAGCTGAACACGTGAACGTAATAGCACCAAACAAGGTACTTGCAACCAGTCATAAACTAGCAGTGCTTGCCATCTTTTTTTTTCCTGAAAAGAGGGGCACAAACACACCAGATCGAGTTAATGATGACTAATGAGTCGACTCTATGTGGCTAGTTCAATAACGTTTTAATTAGGTCATACGTTATTTTAGTCTCGCAATCATCTATGTCGCCTTTTTGACTTTGGTGCATTTAATTTGAGGATGTGAATGGCTAACAAACATTACAGTTCAGACCTTGTCTTGTTTGAATGTTGCCCAATATGTGGGTGTGGTTTTTAAATTTTAAAATGTTTGCTATATCCTGTAGCTCCGACGTCCCTTTGTTCATTAATAGGAATGGCAAATTGTAGTTTCAATTGGTATTTGTTAACTCCCAGCACCAGTCTCCTGTAGCTTAGAGGTAGAGCATCTAGACTAGTTCGCCTCCGTTGGGAATTCGTACTGAAAAAAAAAAGGTTAAGATCATGATGTTTTAATGTGCAATACGTGTTTGATGGGGTTCACATCATCGTCTTGATTTTAGGTACAAGTTGGACATCTTGATCGATTCAAGTATCTTTCTATGAGTGCTTATGAAGCTACCAGCACAACGTGTGTAGTTGAGGCTACCCCGCCTCCTGATTCCATTCGGTGGTAAGCAACCATGACTTTATGAGCCAAAATGAGCTAGTGTTTCTTGTCAGACGAATGAAAAGGGTGTTTAATTCAAAACTGAGTTTTCCAACAGCGCGACTTGGAGGTTGGTGGATATCGAATGATTTATGGGTTTTTTTTTTTTTCAACTTCTTTAGAAATTCATAATTCTTGGGGTTTTGGCATTTTTTTCATTGTTTTCCTCTCATAAACTGAGCGTCAATAATTTATAAGGAGTCTATTAAACATGTTCTTGCCGCTCAATTTTATTCCTGGCTCAAATTTTATTTCCCTCGTATTAAGAATAACAAAAGGAACATTTGAAATGAAATTTCAATCGAAGATAAAGTTGAATTACCACAAATGCAAGATATAGTGCCTGCGTACGTATCCATATGTATGTCATCGGGGTATGTCATTGCTTTACAATCTTTGTAAAAGCTTAAAAATGCATTTTTCTATAGGTGTGCACCAGAGGTAATTTCAGATGGACGCTTCACCCATGCAAGTGATGTATGGGCATTTGGCATATTGGCCTGGGAACTTTACGAATCCTTCAGAACTGGTCAGGAAAACAGAGAGCTTTCGGTTCCTTACCACAGTCTTGACAATAATGAGGTAAAAGTTAACGTTCATGTATTTCTTTCATCCTTTCTATATGTGGACTTGGCAAGTTTAAAGCAAACTACTCGTTCCTCCACGGGCCTTTCTAATTTTTGTATAATCTGTGGTGGCGTGGGAGAAGAAGAACGCGCTACTGGTAAAGAGACGAAGCAAAGCTTCGTATTGCCCCTTTCTCCTTTATTGCAAGTTGATTCAATAGTTTTGTTTGCGTACTGCGAATCAAACTGCGTAGTTTGTTTGAATACGGAGAAAGGTCTTAAACATCACTTAGTCTAACAAAGTCTGTAAAGATGAAGTATTGAGGCATGTCGGTGAGGAGAGAGCCATCATATCTGTTATCAACAGAAGACAGAGAGTCTGGCTTGGTCATACCCCACTGCATGGTGATCTTGTCCCATCAACTATTTAGGGGAGAGTAGTAGGAAAGAGACTTCCTGGAAGACCTTGAGCGGGAATGCTAGACAGAGTAAAGAATGGCAGCCCTTACGTAGCAGTCAAGAGGCTCGCCTTAAATCGAGAACTATAAGAAAGGACTTGCCTGTGGGCAGAATACACACACACACACACACACACACAAACACTACGAATAAGAGACAGCGGCTTGTTGCATTCTTTCCTAAAGATATAGGTTGTATTCTTAGTTTAACTTAGTGTTGCTACTAACTTATTATCAATGTAGAAAACTTACTGGAATTCTTTCAAAGCTTTAACACTGATAATAGTCCTAAGGCTTCCAGTGTTATTAAGTAGTTCCATGACTGAGAAACAAAGAGCAAACTTTCAAACAAACTTTTATATACACAAACTTTTGTGTATACCTTGAGATTCAACATTTTAAGACAAACTCCTTTTTAAGTTACTGCGTTTGATGCGTGAGACTGTTTAATAGTAACAATTTCTAATTGATCTATAACATCAGATTCTGAATCATATGATAGACAAAGGACCAATGAAGCAACCAGAATTCTGCCCGAACTGGGTGTACCTTTTGATGCATCAGTGTTGGGCGTTCGAGTCCGTACAGAGGCCACCTTTCCTCGCCATCTTTGATTGCCTTACGAGCAGGTACCTGAAAAATTACACTTTATTCACGCAAAAACTGTTATTAGTGACTGAGCAAGTTAAAGAAGGGGATGTTCTTCTCATTAAGCTATTGTACGCTTCAGACTTAGCTCCATGCTGGTTAGCCAATTATCTAGACCTTGCACAAGTTCAAACGTTTTACGGACTGAAACAGTCGGAATTTTGACACTAAAAGTTTTTTTGACTAGATCCGCCCATGTAATTGTTTTATCAGCTTAGTTGATACCAAGGTTATTTTCCTTTAAGAGAAACCGAGTTTTTACTAACTGGCGTTTAGAGCGCCTGTCCTTCATCAAGCAAATCGTACAGTAAAACTGTAAATCCGAAGCATGATTTGAATGGCAAAAGAAACATACATGGCTTTTTCATTATTTAAAGGGAACCAATGAAGTCCTGGATGATGAAATGCTGGTTACAAACGCACAGCGAAAGTGAGTGGCCAGACTTAAACGTTTGTCAGACGGAAGATTCCTTTCATGTGTTGCATGAAACGCTCCACCCATCCCCAAAGAACATCGAAAAGATGTGTTCAGACGAATATTTCGGCAAGCACACTTACATATACGACAAAAAAGTTAACGAATACTTTGAGGAGGATGAGAGCTTATACACATATGCAAGGTGTGAGGTTGCAGCTAACTCTTTGGAAGATACATCGGGTTATTTATGTCCCAAAGAATCGTGTGTTGGAGAAGACGAAAGGAAAGCAGAAGACGACATCCCAGAGGACAGAAAATACGAAAACGTACAACAAAACGGCAGGGCAATACCTTATTACGCCCCAGCTGTAGAAAACCGGGACTATCAAAATATGCCACTCAGTGTGGCACAAAACCACTTCGTACCATCTAACCTCGCGATAAACAAAGAGAAATGTGAAGAGTACGAATTTATTCGGGACTCTCCAGAAAAATACGACCAGGAAGATAAAGAGAATAAGGATTGCCAAGCCACAACGGCCCTTGAAGACAGCCCTCCAACAATTCACAAAAGAAAGAGAAACGCACCACGTTTTAAAGCCAAGAGGCGGTTTAAATGGCAACCAGAACACAAGGAACATGTTTACGAAAACGCATTCGTAAAATACCCGCTTACAACAAAAATAATAAATTTTGAAGACTCATTTTGATTTCTACATAGAGTAGTTTCAACATCACTCATGTTTTTCATGGATTAACTTAATTCTTTAAATAAATACCCTTGATAGGAGTTGCCTTATCCTCAGTCTAGGAGGAGAAGAGACACCTTTAACCACGTGACTGTGCAGCTTGGGGCTTTTTGAAGGGGTTACTAGATTTCTTGGATTTATTATCATTTAGAAAGTATATTTAAATTTGAATCAACATGTGTGATGATCACATTCTCATTATAATGTTTTCTTTTTATACTAGTTTTAAAATGTAGTTGTAAAACGCTGATAACGGTTAAATGGAGAGTGGACATGTAATGTATAATAAAACTGCCGGAAGAGAAAATAATGATAGAGATCTATCATGGTTACTCCAAACATTAAACGGCTCTTGCTTGAAAAAGACAACCAGACGGAGTACGCATGTATGTGTCAGCCTCAAATAAGATGTATTTTAGATGTTTTAGTCTATGTGAAAATTCTTTATTTTTCAGTAATCGCGGTAACTAATCCATTATCATCATTATCTTTTACATTGTGTATTGTGTAAACTTGAAACAGAGCGAGACCAAGTACTAATATCCTAATCTAAACTATAAACTACATTTTTATAGCTTTGGTGTTCAGTACCTAGTTACAGCTTGGTGCAAGTTGTATTTGACATTGAAAATATATATATATATATATATCACAATACAATATCAAGAGTTTAACGTTTTCTTATTAACAAAAATCACAAGCTTAAGCCTCTCAGGCCGAAAACCTTTAGAAGGTAGCTTAATGGCACCAGTCAGGTATCATTGTCCATTGAAATACACAAGCTCCCCACTTTGACCCCCCGGGAGAGCAGAGCCGTGGGTCATCAGTAGAGCGTTGCCATGTCAGCAACTCCTGACGTAACTCTTTCACTTCAGCCTGATAAGCCGGATTGTTGATTAGGTTTTTCAGCTCTTTTGGGTCAGACTTGAGGTCATACAGCTCCCACTGCGCTCGGTAATGGTACTGTTTCAACGTATGAATCCAGCCCGTCTCTGTACCATTCTTGGTCCGTTCCAAAATATCCCTGAATGAAAATGAGGTAAAAATATCCAGGGCAATGGGATAGGGCATATTGTATCATAAGTTGTGAATCAGTTTGAGATCATTTTTCTGCAGCACCCTCATTGGATAGTACATTGTGACTTCATGCAAATCGTGGCTGGCAAATACAGTGTCCCATCCAGAAACTGGTTCTTCTTTCAACGCCGGTAGAACAGACTTCCCAGTCAGCTGTACATCATGTGTTCCAAATAATTTGTAAGAAGGATAATCGATGCTAAACCAATCTAAGATGGTTGGTATCCAAAGGGCTCACTGATGCATCGCTAATTTGACTCCAGCGTTTAGTGACGTACGGGGATGATACTAGGTAGGGCTCAGCCATGCCTAATGATTGAAAAGAAAAAGCCCCACTCGTTTATTGAAAGCTACATAAAGGGAACCCTTTTTGTGAGATTACAATAATTAGAACCATTTTAGAAAGTTCTACCTGCTCACCAAGCTGCATACCCAGTACCACCATGGTGTGTTGCTGCGCAAAGCTTCAAAGAAGAGGACTTGTCGTTCAACAATAGTTTCGACACCGTTTTGCCTCCTTCATCTTCTAACAGCTCCATCTGTCTCGTTTGTGCTGGATGTACATGTTGTTATTGATTATCTTTCTTTTGTACATTACCATCTAGATCGGCTTTAACATTCGCCAGACTTTTTATTGACCGGGTACTTTATTAAGGGCTATTCTTTGCTGGAAATCCAGCACCTCAATGACCAATAAAAGATCTCCATATAACTTTATATTTTCCGTTGAAAAGACATTTGTTCTATTTTGTCAGGTTGTTTTACTAAATCTTTCTTTATCAGTCTGCAGAGCCTTAACACTGTTAAATAACTGTATGCACAAAGAGCTTTCGTAAGTATAGACCATTATATCGTTGTGATATAAATTGTAAATTGTAAATATCTTATTATCCACTCCCCTCAGGGATTTTCAGGGATAATTTACAACACTGGTTGGGGGACTTTGCCAGACTGCTTAAGGTGCAGTTTACAAGTACTAAAGGAATGAGTGATGATGCCCCCATACATGAGTGTGAAAGTGAGATAGACCACTACACCGGGCACTACGTGCCCTACTCTTTACGAAGAGTGTGCGGGTTCTTTAACGGGGCCTACGGTTTATCGTCCTTATCCGAGAAGACTAGAAAGTCTAACCATTTGCAGATGTTATTACAAAGGCAGCACTTTCTCCTCAGTTATTTAAAGACCCTGAGTGTTGGTCCGGCCGGGGTTTGAACCTACGGCTTCCCGCTCAGCAGACCGGCGCTCTCCCAACTGAACTAACCGGGCGCCATTGATCTCGTCTGTTCATTTAAAATGTTTCACGGGCCTATTTTAATCAAAAGAATACCACTAACAAATACGATGGTCAATAAACCAAGAATCAAAAGAAAACCTTTAAATTATCTTTTTTACACTGCCTAAATTTGTATTTATTTTTACATTTTATGCAGGATTCGAATGTAATCGTAACCCTAACCACATGTTTCCCTAAGAGGCAAGAGAAATTATTAGCTGTACTAGTTCAAATATTTAGCAAGTGAAAATAGAGGATTTTGAGTAGGTTAAAGGCACTAAGCCGTGACTTAGCAAATTGACCTAAAATATACATATGTTAACTGCAACATAACGTCCTCATAACAATTAAAGTACGTTATCCTTCAAAAAAGTGTAAGAAGCTTCCAGGTTAATGTGAAAAGGCACGATGAAATACGGGACTATAACTCAAAAGTTTATTCTCCGGACCCCGAGGAGAAGGTAACCAATTTGTGCTATGCCGGTAACAACAATCCTAGTTGCTGTGATTTCTGATGGCATGCATGCATGACTAAATTTTTTTAGAAGCACCTCATACTCTTGATTTATAAGGGACTTTTGTAAGGGAAGTTAAATGACCTCTTAAATGACCTGGCCTATTCGACACGCAAAAGAAATCGCTTCACAACCACTCTGTTAACGTTTGTACACTCTCATCAGAAAGCATGTGCAAAAACGATTAAATAGTCGTTTCATAATTTGTATTGGTCTTGAAAATTTGAAGGATGAAAAAGTGACGAACTTTGTTTGTAACTGAAGTGGTCATGGTTAACATGGTTAAGTGCTCTTAGTGTCGGGATTCTGGCAAAGTGCCTTCATGACATATAACAGTAAACTACGTCATCCTTCCAAAGGGACTTCCCGGTTGTTCTGAACTTGAAATTAGGGACCTTTAATTCAAACTTTCATTTTCCGTGTGCGAAGAGGACGGCAATCGATTTGCTGCAAATAACAACTATCAATTGCCGTGACTTCTTATGACATGGAAGATTACGGTAAGTTGACTGTCCAAATATATCGCTTGATATTTGCTCGTAGAAGAGCTAAAATCGTTGACAACTAAATTAGTCAGTGGAATTTAGCTTACTTATCTGATGGATAGCCTCTTCTTCTCGCTTCTAGTTTACTGGCTTGTTAGCATTGTGGATGCCATTACATCAATTGTAATGAAAATCGTCAAGGAAATTAAAAATATCATCATCGTACGAGGAGGCATACATTGTATAGCCACTTCCTTGAGCCTGTTTATCACAATTTCAAGAGGTTCTTCACTTTGTTCTCTGATTTGTGCTTTCACAGACAATATTCTCATAGAAGCTTAGAACAATTACCTTCAAAAAACTAATTATTTATTCAAGATCCGCCGCCCGTAAGGAAGTGGACGCTTCATCTGTTTATGCTTTTCAGAATATAAAGCTGGTTAACTTCACATAATTTTCTAAGCTGATTCAAGTGTTTGTTACAAGTAGACTAACCGCGTATTAAGTATATTATTGCAGTATAGCGCCGGGCGGGAAGGTAAAGCTAGACGGATAAACAAACCCCTGACCTCAGCTCCGATCAACTCGCACTTTCAGCTTGGTAATGATGCCTCTGCACTGGCATAAAAATGATCTAAAATAAATACCAACATTATGGAATAAGTGTCAGTGGAAAATAAGAAAACTTTGTTTGGAATTGAAAAGACATCTAAGCCTATTAGACACAAAGAAACGAATTGCTTCACGCACTCCCAATCTATACACTCATAAAAAAACTAGCCTGCGAACGTGACCTCGCTCATCGTTCAAGAAAAAAAAACGGGATTAGATATTTTTCAAACTTTCGGATTGGTTTTGGAAATTTGAAGAATGGAAAAGTGAAAAAACTTTGTTCAGTCATAACTGAAGCGGTTATGGCCAAGTGCTCATACATGTCTCGGCTCAAACAAGTTGAAGTCGGCTGTGCAGCTTATTTTGCAACATGGTTTATCACCTTGTTTATGATGTGTAGGAATGATCTTCCGCCCTTAAACTTTTTAAGAAAGAGTGTCTCGACTTTATTTACAAAATATTAAATCGAAATATACGGTATCGACTGTCATTAAGTGCCGTAAGTAACATTTTCATTTAATTTCATGAATACTTAATGACGTCATGGTCAAAATAGCTAGAACAGAGTGGAAAGTGTCGTAAAAGATTTTAATTTTTTCCCTGAACAGCCGATTAGTCAAAACAATTCTACATTAAGGAGATAAAAATAAGCGGGGAAAAGTCCCTTTTTTGACCTTTAATAACAGATTATTACGCAACTTACATCTGTTGTTAAGTTAAATTGATGTCGTAAGCATTTTCATCTTGAACAACCTCTAGCAGGTTCCAAGTTTCAACTGAATTCGTTAAATATAACATTAACTATTTGATACATATATGTTGTAGTTAATTTTTTACCTCAGGTAATTTTCGTTTTGCTTTTGTTTTTGGGTATGGTAATGTATGTTAAAGAAGTTGAAACAAAAGAAAAATAAAAATTACCTGAGATAAAAAATTAACTACAACATATATACGGAGATATAGATCCTAGAAGCGACAGGACATTGTAATAGATTAAGTTTAAAAAGTAGTGTACGTGGGCTGAGACGGGCTAAAAGCATAAAGCGGAAGTTTACCTTTAATATAAAGAACAAATTACAAAGCCTTTGCCACGTCAGTACTTCAGCCGCCCTGCGCATAATTATCATGGATAAGGAAAGCAGTTAAGGAACATGCGGGGCGTATTACTCTAATGGAAGACTCTTGCTTGCCTTAAGTAGCTTGTTGTACACTATGTTGGTTGGGCTAAACGGATCATCATTTGAGGTTAATAGAGTGAATATCATCATTGATAATGTCCTTTAAGATCTTGCTTTTACCCCTTGGATTGTAGGGCGAAGTTTATCGAGACAAGGTAGATCATTTATTTTGTTCTTGAAGAAAGGAAATACGTTCAGTGCTACTAACTGTGAGCACTTACGCCTGACAGTGGTCCATCTGGCGCGTACCTTGACGTCACTGTCGGGCACTAATAACCTTTCCACTGACCTCAATTATAACAGTATGAAAAACTTCAACTTCAACTTAATTTGAAAAAATATTTGTAAATAAACGACACTAAGAGACTGGTTCCAAATTAGCATTGGCTAATCTGGGAGGAACAGTCACACTAAAACATTGCAATGAAAACAATCTAATTTAAATTTACAAAAGGAGACTTACATAATTACTTACACAAGTTTTGTTAATTTACATAATTAAGCATACCATTGCAAGTTCATTAACTTCACTTTCGTTAAGGACCGGTAAGTTTGAATGACAATGATAATGCCAATAATTGTGCCGTCACGCCACTGAACGTTATATAAACAACCACTTTTCTGTTTCGTGATTATTTCCGCTTGAGACGTAGGTTAGTCATTTTAGAGATAGTATCTGTCGTAAATCCTTATTATTGGTCAATCTGTTACACTCGGATTTCCTTTGCAAAGTATAATAGTCATTGTCTTATTGACTCTCTAGTTTTTTCACATCAACCCAGCCTATGTAAGTTCTTTCCTTTTTTACCTTATAAAAAGTAATTTCAACTTCGCTGGTTATGCTGCCCTATCTCGGCCAAGACCAAATATCGGTCGAGGTAGCGGAACAATAATAATGATAGTAATAATAACGATAAGGATGATAAGGACATGGCTTAATATAATCTCTCGTCTTTTGTGCTCTCTCTCTCTCTCTTTAAGATCAAGTTGAAACAGAATCCATTACGTCCTCAGGCTCTTCAGGTAAGCAGGTGATCCCAAAGCATTGTTAAAAATCTTGAGTCTTAAACAAAAATAAGAGGATGGAATGATGCTACTGCTTTAAAAATAGGGAGGCGCTTTTGAAAGCAAGAAATGTTGATTATTATCCAAAATAATCCAAAGTACTGAGTTTATTCATTCAGAATTACAGTCATCATTTCGTCATTGTCATCATCATTATCATTGTAAGTAATTATTATTGAGGAGGACACAAATACTGACAACCTAAGCTACATTTGCTAACAACCATGTAACAAAGGAACACAAACTTTTTCCTCTTAGGAAATTACTCGTACGTCGAGTCATCACAGTCTCCTAGTAACTCTTCACAAAATATCAGCCCCATTGAAGAGGAAAGAGAATATGACAGTGTTCCAGAGGAAGAGACAATTGGAGTTATTGAACGTTACCCAGGATCGTACTGTTTGAGCAGCCACTCTGAATTACTGGTCGTCAACAGAGGGACTGAATGGAACTCCCAACCTAGCAAGGGCATTCTTGCAAGCAATGGTAAATTGGCTATTTACTTTAGATTAGAAAAATTAAACTTAAAAACGTTACTCGACGTCTCGATGTTTCAAACATCATTCTCAAAAGTAAGAAATGCTTCGTTTTTTTAATTAAAAAAACAACTTTGAAACTTAACATTTCTTACTCTTGAGAATGATGTTTGAAACATCGATTCCTCGAGCAACGTTTTCGAGCGAAATTAATTTTTCTTGTTAAATGCTTCAACAAGCAACTGACAATCGGACCTACTTTAGACACTTTAGAATAGATTTTGGTAGACTACGAGAAGTCCCCATTTGTCCTCAGGGATAGTAGAGCGAGCGAAACGTGAGAGCTTGAGAAAACACACGACAGAAAGGCGAAGAAAAATGGGGACTACTAGTAGTCTAAGATTACAGTTATTAAGCATTAAATGCTGAAGGGCATAATTATTTGTAATCGATTGTGTTCTGTATTTGAATTTGCTTAATCGCTACGATCACAGAATTCGAACAAAAAACGAACATCCTGTTCGAGGCATCACAACACCAACAAAGAAGCGCGCATGGCATTGTGGGAAGTCTGTAACATAATTCCGAAAAACTTTAAAAACCCAACCATCCTGTTTGATACACTACAGTTACTGAAAAGAAAACTTTTTTATGCATTTTAGGTGACAATGAATTCCAGCAGTGGTCCATTGAATCTTTCTTCGATGACCCCGATAAATTTATTCATGAGATGAACAAGACCGCTGACCTGTGTAAGGGACAAAGGGAACATTTCATCTTGCATACAGTTCTTCCTCATCTAGAAAAATCATGGGGTAAATGTTCTTCCAAAAACGAAGAGGTTTTCAAAATTCTGGTTCAAATAGGCTGCAGCGCCAACAGTAGAGTCGTAATAAGACACGCATTGCTATTGTTTCTTCACCTGATCTGTCAGGAGGATTTCGACAGTGGGAACATTAGTTTGCTTGTTGTGGAAGAAATAGCAAGATCATCTATTTTTATGCCTGATGGAGTGTTAAAAAAATCCCAACATTCAGAGACAAGTTTACAAGCCTTTGTTTACAGTCGCATTTTGTCATGGCTTTTGATACAACGAGCGCGAGACGTAGATCTGTCATTTGTGGCTGTAGAACAAGATTTGAAGAAGATTCAACATGAGCTGGAGAAAAGTTGTAACCTTGTCTCAGGCAGAAAGAAGGATCTCTATCGATATTCAATGGAATTTATTAGCAAGGCAATTTCTCAGTTCAGGTCAATGCCAGATGCAAATTTGAAGACACTAATAGAAGAATGTTACATGTTTTGTGAAAATTCGACATTGGAAAGTGGCAAATTAGGAATCCTAAGTAAAGTAAAGAAGAATAACTGTGGAGAATGGGTTGATCTGCATTGCGTCTTAATTCATCTGCATGGAAAGGTCGGTAGGAGTTTTACTTATTCTTTTCACCTAGCCGTACTTAGTTACGATAAAAATATACTGTACATATTCAGGCACGCACATAGACATATAACTGAAGTGTTCTCTTCGTTATCGCTGTTACATTAGTTACGTCATAAAAGAAGATATTCAAAACCACTGTACATAGAATTGTTAAACGTATTTTAGTATTTAAACAGGCACGCACTCAAAGACATATAACAAAACTTACCTTTTCGAAAATTTTAGCCAGAAAAAAGGCTCCCGAAAATTTTAGGTGACCTATTAAGGGTAAAAATCCGTTAAAAATAGGCAATTATCCATTTTTTAGATGTCCGTTACATTTTAAAACAAATGTTCCGCAAACAGATATTTTCCGAAAATTGAACGTCCTGTTCCACAAATGGAGACCGAACGAAGGGCTCTTAAACTCATCAGATTAATCGTGGAGGCTTACGTGGTGGGAAGAAGTAAAGCGGACTGGAAATTTTGCCTGTTGGTATCGTCTCTACTAGCAGATACCGCAAAAAACAGCGTGACAAAAGGTATAGTCTGTTTGCTCTGTTGAATCGCAAATACCGCAAAAAACAGCGTGACAAAAGGTATAGTCTGTTTGCTCTGTTGATTCGCAAATACCTCAAAAAACAGCGTGACAAAAGGTATAGTCTGTTTGCTCTGTTGAATCGCAAATTAGTTAAAAAAAAAAGGAAATTTACCAAATGTGAGTGCCTGATCATTATTTCTTCTCCGTGTCAAACAAAATCACATACGGCAACAATGGGAAGTACCATTACCTTCTAACTGTAGGATTATAATTATTGTGATCAATAAAATTTTAAACTATAGGTCCATAGTCTCCATATTTTTGTAGCTGAAAAGTCAGCAGTCTCTGTGACACATAGCGCCGGGTATTTAGGCTTGTGAGTGTAAATGCATGTCTCTGGCTAAAGTTAATAGCACTCCTGAACAGGTATGGCTCAAAGGCCGGGTTTTAGCTATTATGACGCGAAACAATAGAACGCATACCTAGCAGGAAAAAATAGCCAAAAACAAGGATTTGTCGGCAAGGTTTAAAGTTTAACGTTTTCAGGTTTTATGATTGATCATAACTCTTATCATTATATTGGTTAATAAAGGAAATGTTTACTTTTATATTTTAAATTGTCATATCATAGCTGATATAATTTCAACTTAATTTTTAAGTAAACCGTGATAAGCCGTGAGATATACTGTAATGAACTATCCGTGTGGCTTATGACGAACTTGTAATCAATCCTAGGCCTCATTATACTTTTATATTTTATTTTTCCTCTTCTTTGATCGAACAGAATTGAGGGTGGAGGCTGGTGGTTGCTTGGTCTATCTCCTTAAAAGTGAAAAACTGCGAAAAAGGCCAGAGTGCAGAGAGTTACTGGAGAGAAAATGTAAAGAGGTTCTTTTCTGCCCAGACAAAGAAACTAGGGAATTTCTGGTCCGTGCTCTCTACCACAATTCTACCGGAGGGGATCGCGATTTACAAAGACCAGAACGCCTTCCAGTGGAACAGCTTACTGAACATTTGTCCTCGTCGTACAGAACAAACTCCTTGGAAATCAAGAAGCAAATTATCAGCGATAGTCCATCTAGTTTTGTCAAAAGTGGAATGTTTCGAAGCAAAAAGGTAAAGCAACTTTATATATGACAGTACACCAATTAACGTAGTGTGCCTCGTTTTTACTTGAAAAGCTAGCGAGTCAGTTCCATCTGTTCAGCGAGTGTGCAGCACAAATATGTTTCAGAAAACAACCTGGTGGGAACAGTTAAGACAACACATCTCCATGAAAACGGATTACTGCGTGACAATTCAAATGAGTAATGAAAATATGTAGTTATAGAAAACAATAAATCCTCTTCGGAAAATACCCCTTATTCAGATGTAAATTTTCAGTCTTCTAACCTTTCTAGATCGCCATCAAATTCCTGCACGTAACAAAACAGCATCTTAGGGAAAAGGATCTCGAATTACAGGCCAGAGAACGACTTAATCGAGAAGTCTTGAACATGAGACAGCTAAATGCATCTCGACATCCAAACTTCCCTGTCCTTCTAGCCTACGACACTAAACGTTTGCCGTACCATATCATCACAGCATTTGAAGAACGTGGAGACCTATTAGCGTTTGTTCGGTCGTTCAGAGAAGGAGACCCGCCAGTAAAACACTATCGGCTTCTTGAGATGCTTAAAGATGTCAGCGACGCTATATTGTATTTAGAAGAGCTGGGATTGGTCCACCGAGCTGTAATGGCTAAAAATGTCCTTGTGGGGTCTCAAAACTGCAAATTAACCGGTCTTCATTCCACTTGCAGAGCTTTTTACACAGGTAAATCGGAAAGAAATTGATAAAGTTAAAAGCGATTTATTTCTTAATTTGTTCTCAATTCAGCTGTTGAGCATTATATAAGAATATCAGGAGCCCTAGTCCCTGAACAACGCAAAATCTATGATAGCAACGTCGCTTAATTCGTGCCCTGTTAAAACTCATCCAGATACTCCCAACACGAATTGGTTTATTGCAATGTCGATAAAAGACGTTATATATCCTTTTTCAATTACAGCTACAGATTCTGTGGAGGGTTATTGTTCAGCTGAGGTTCCTGATGTTCCTGAAACTGATCTCCCAGTTAGATGGAAGGCGCCCGAGTGCTTAACGAAGCATCAACTTACCACCGCGTCTGACGTTTGGGCCTTTGGGGTACTTGTGTATGAGGTGCTCACGTATGGTTGCACCCCATACAGAGACATCCTGGACAAAGACGTGCGCGATCATGTAGGTTGCTTTTCTCGCTAAAGAAAGCTGAAGATAATAACGAATGATCAATATATTGGATGATCTCACGGGATTCCCTAATCTGTATGTGGCGAAAAAAAAAACTGTCTAGTACCCAATGTAAAACTTTACTCACCATTTTCACATACACCATAATGCATCTTGTTTACCCCAAAAAAAAAATTTTTGCATAATGATTGTTTCCGATTTCTCCTGGGTATTACACTCGTTCCAAGCCGAGAAATGGAAGGCAATGGTTATGCAAAATTTGGGGTGGGGGGGGGGGGGGGGGGAGGGTAAACAAGGTGCATTATGGTCTGTGTGGAAATAGTATCATAATTTGAAATGAGAAGAAAAGGTGCTGAACACTCTGTCTTTTTGCTGATTTTTTTTTTGGATTCTCTTTCAACATTATAGTTTTACTGCTTTTATGTACCCAGTCAAACCCTTCAAGGAAAGAGTCGTTTATTTCTAGAACTGGTATGGAGATGAGGTTCTATGCCTGTCAAAAAAAGTTTTAATTTGCTACAATGAACTTAAAATACTCTTCATTTTGCAGGTCTTACACAGGAAAAAAATTGTGCCGTCAGAGTCGTGCTTTGAAAATGAAGAGTATGAACTAATAAGGCAATGCTGTGCATGGGAGATAAACGAAAGACTCAAAATATCCCAAGTCAGTGAAAGACTTCAGGAAATGTCCAGACGCGCCAAAAAATCAGGCATGTGTCATTTTAAACTGATGGTTACATCCCCTTCAGGCTTTGAGGTGGATCTTGAAAGGACAAAAAAATGAATGATAACTAGATAAATACGGAAAAAAGGGAAACCAATTGCAGTACCAAACGATCAACAGCGTGGCCTCTCTACAGTAACTACTGTTAACTACCTTTATATTAAAATAACGATTGCTGATAAAAATCTTACTGCTATAAATTACTGACTGACGGATGTATTAACCACCCAGTATATCTTCAATACTATAAGTTGCTTCATTTTGCAATTTATCCACCTTAGGGAAAGAGGGCTTAAGGCATCACCCGCCTCCTTTAGAAATGCAGTGCACCGGCGATAGCAGCTCGGTAAGTTGCCATTAAATTTCTTAAAAATTGCCTTTGATTAGAAAGGTACATATGTTTCATTTTCATCACCCATAATATCACCCATATGATTTCAAACATGCCAATTGTTAATTGATCCAGTTGTCTTCAAACTTTGACAACCTTAATTATTGTTAAATTTCAGGATGAACAAATATACGACTCAATACCAGGTAACTTTCATTACCTCTTATATTTTATATAAGCAAAAGCAAATGTTCTTCAAGTGGAGGGGCAACAAACTTTATAAACCACTAGTTATTGTCATTAATAGACACCTATTGATCATGAATAGCCATTCCTAACTAACGCTGTGCCTTTCTTCTAGAAAAATCCGACGAATTGAGAATGCCAGTACAGGAAAGTAACGGTGAGTTTGGAGATTAATCGATTCTATTAGAACAACCTCTTACAGTTTTGCAATAGCTCATAAATGAGTTGGTTTCCCCCTTTAAATTTAGATGTATGTTGTTTTCTTTAAAGGCGTTTCTGAAGAATACATGGTAATGCCAGTCCAGGAGAGTAAGGGTGAGTTTTATTATAACGATTCTATAAGAGGTTTTAAAGAGTCTTCTGATTTACCTAAAAAGGCAATTTTTAACACTTATGTTCAGTACATGATTCGCTTGTTAGTAGCTGATGGCTCTGTATAGCTCTAAAACTGTCGTTCTCATATTATCTAACAAAACCACAAATGGCTATTTGTTTTTAGATGTCTACGGAGAACTAGAAGTCGATGATTACGTGGTCAGGAAAAATGCCCAGGTATGAAAAGTTAAATTCCCTGACAAGCAAATTTAGAAGACAATTAAAGGATGAAAAAATGTGAATATTTGACTTGGTGTACTCATTCCCTTGGCGCACGACATCCCTTATGTTGTGAATTGACCTAACTGTATATTTTTTTTCAATTCAGGGATTAACTAAAATATGGGAAAAATTGTCAGAAGAAGAAGATAAACATATCAGGGCACTGAGTCATCTAAAAAATGACCACCTTTTCTCAGAATATGAAATCGAGTATTTTGATTCGCTTCCCTGGATGGTAAGTTATTGTATGATATATTCCATTTGCATTACTTGTCAACTGTTTATAAGGACGTCGAAGGATAATTTTATCTTTTACATGTAATTAATGTGAAAATGTTTCAACATAATGCAGAGCTGGGAATGCCCCAACGGAAACTTAAAGGAGTACGTACTTGACCATCGATGCAACGTGGAGGACATCGTCATGTTCCTGTCGCAGGTGGCGTCTGCTCTTCACTACCTCCATGTAAACCATATTGTACATGGAGATCTTCGAGCTGAGCATGTGAACGTAATAGCAACAAACAAGGTACACAACCTTTAAATTTTGTCCCATCAATCATAAACATCGAAAGCATCAAACGTTTTCTTGAACTGTTCTCCACTTACCACTTGCTTCAGGGGCGGATCTAGGGGGAGGGTGCAGGGGGTGCGCCCCCCCCCCCGAGATGACCTGCGGTTTTCTAATACAACTGGTATTCTGCAAAAAAAAACTAAGTGGTTTATTGGTGTTGAAGTAGAGCAAGAGACTAGTGCACCCCCTCCTAAAAAAAATCCTGGATCCGCCCCTGTGCTTACACGAAACTGCATTAAACAAAGAGAAGCCTTATTAGTAAATTCTGAACTGTCGTTTTATTTATGATATTAAAATAAAGGATGACGATTTGTTCATCAACCAATCGACCGTTTTACAACCTGACATTACACCTCGTATTTATGAATGAGACAACTTCTTTTGTTTGTAACTGATGCAGTGATCTCCCCCGCCGGGACAGGAAAGGGTAACTACCTTATACCCTTACTTAGCATATACGGAAATGTGTCGCTGGACAGGGAAGGATGGTTTTACTCCCCTCTGTTCTCACCAGGGTATTTACTCTAGCACTTTGTAATAATCCAAAACTACTTTCTGTTTTCAGCTGTTTCGATCATATTTTAAAAGTTTGCAAATTAAAGTTGTATTGTTTCTATTGCAGGTTCAAGTTGGTCGCCTGGGTCGCTCCAAGTCCTTGTCCATGAGTGAGTACGAAGTTACCAGTACGTCATGCGTAAAGGGAGCAAAAATGCCACCCGATGCTCTTCGCTGGTAAGTTTACTAGAACAATGTACTCATTTAATCCCGACTTAGTCCCGTAGCCTTCGAATGCGCCCACCTCTCATTGTTCCCCTCCGCTGAGAAGTCTCAAGTGGCGGGAAATGATAGGAGACAGCTTCCCAAATTGTTCTCTGCTCGAGTATAGCGAGGGGTTTCGAGCAGAGTTTCTGAACTTCACCAAAAGAGATGATTTGCAAATGTCGATCACTGCTGAAGAGGACAACACGTGAATTGACTGAATTCCAATTTCTTATGAGTCGTGGCGATAATGTTGTGAGAAAAACTATTGAGAGGCCTGTATGACAGTCGACTTGCCACTTATAATTAATACCAGCAATAATCATTTAATTTTCAGGAGTGCACCACAGGTTATATTAGATGGACAATACACGCATGCCAGTGATGTGTGGGCTTTTGGTATTTTAGCCTGGGAGCTTTACACGTCCTTTGCAGTTGGTCAACAAAAGCGTCAATTTTCAGTTCCCTACCATGAACTTAAAACCCAAGAAGAGGTAAATCATAGAAATTAGACCGATAGTAAGCCAATAACAGAATCTCGTCTTCAGGAAAGAAATACATGTTTTCCTTATTAAGCTGTAGCTATTTTGTCACTTTTGCAAAGATGATTTTCTGAAAAGCCACCTAGTCAGTTAACCCTCTCTCATTTTTTGTAGATTCTGCAATACATGGCAGACGTCGGACCCTTGGGTCAACCCGACTGCTGTCCTGACTGGGTGTATAAAATTATACATCAGTGTTGGGCGTATGATTCTACTCAAAGACCGCCTTTTCTGGCTATCGTTGATTGCTTGACGAGCAGGTACGTTGTTTAATAGTCACCCTTATGGACACCAAGACAAATTTTATTACCTCACCTGGGAAGAGGCTTCCTAAGTAATTTTCACACGATTTTACCCTTTCCGTGGCGCAGACTGAAACAAAAGCCCCTGTATGGGGCGAGTTAACCGAGAAACTTGTGTTACGGAGACATGTAATATTCTGTTTTGAGGGTAGAGACAAAAAACGACACAAAGATGTACAAATACACCTTCCAAGATGGCTTCCAAAACCGTGACAGGATCTATCTTTCATGTAACCGCATTAAACGTTTAAAAGATACTAAATTATTTTCTTTTTTCTCATAAAGGGAGCCAATGAAGTCATGGATGATGCAACTGTGGCTGCAAAATCACAGTGAAAGCGAATGGCCAGACCTGTCCATTTCCCAGGACGGTGCTCACGTATTGAATGAAGGTCGCCACCCATCCAAACAAGACATCGAGAGGATGTGCTCAGAAGACTACTTCGCTAAACACAACTATAGGTACAATAACAGCCGACTGTCCGAGAAAGACAAGATCCTTTACAGTAGCGTATATGCTAACCCCATTTACTTGACAGTAGATAAAACATCGTCAAACAAAAAAATGGGACAAAACAATATTGTTCCGTATGACGTTCCTGGAGAACGCAAACATGTGATAGGGGAAATTAACCAAAATAGAGGTCCGCATGAGGAGAGCCGCAACAAAGCATCTGGAATGGACCTGCAAGATTGCACCATTCAAGACAAAGCGACAAAAAATTTGTCAAAAGATAACAAGGCACCCAAAATGGAACACGGCGATTGCTTCATAGACGACAAACCAATATCCAATGGAGGTCAGAGAAGAGAAAACCAAGACACGCTGGTGCTTGGACAAAATGTCCAAAATAGTGATCTTCAAAGCAGTACACCCCAAAAGGAGCAAGACAAATGCTCCTTGTACGACAAACCAACATCCAATCCAACAGCCACTGAAAGCAAAAACAGAGAATACCAAAATGCACTGGCGCTACAAGAAAGCCCGAATGAAGCTCTTGAAAATAAAACACTAACAAACAAACGTAACAGACCAACCAATTTGTTAGGCGATAAAGACGAAAACAGACAATACCAAAATGTGCCAGCGCTTAGAGGGTCCAAGAATGGATGTCTTCAAAATACAGCGCTCAAAAGGGAACAAGGAGGCTGCTACAGAAACGACATGCCTGAACATGGAGGCGAAGACAGAGAATACCAGAATGTGCAGGCACTAAGACATGTCCACAGAACTGACGACCTTCAGAGAAAACCAACCAAAATGGATCCTGTGGGTGACTGCTTTGTGAACAGCGAATATCCAACCAACACCGACGTAACAGATGATGGACGCAAAGACCAAGATTACGAAAACGTTTTGGCACAAAGACAAGTCCATCAAAATGGAGCTCCTAAGAAAAAAGAAAAGGGTCAAACTGCTCCCGCTGGTAGACTAACCCCAAGGAAACGGAAGTACGGAAATGAGGAAAACATACAAAGAACCTCAACGTCGGCGGAGAACCAGCCAAAAGAAAATGAGTACGCCTATGAAAATGAACAGGCGACGCTAGAGGGGCGTCATTTAAGTATGGAAGACGGCCATTCGAATAGAATGTCTGCAAGCCATGATAAAAAAATTGAGTTTGAATATTATGTTTAATTTGTTCGTTGTACATAGGGTTCCGAGAAGCAACATGCCTAATAACATTTGACCCCATACAGCATTTTGGATGTTTTCCGACACACTGTAAATCTAACTAAAATAGTAGTATTTACGTTGGCAAAAAAACCGGCCTTATTTGGCTGGCTGAAACTGTGTTGCTATCATGGCCAGTTTGTTCAAACATAACCACAGGTATCCCAAACTCACCTAGCGAGCGCTTGTGAAAAATTAATACATCTGGCCATGTTGCGATTTATACGGTTGTTAAAAATTAATACATTAATAACTATTACATTAATTATGCCATTAATAATTAATACTGCCTTGATCTTAATTAAAAGTCTTTCATTAAAGTCAGAAAGCAGTAGTTTTTAAGTCACTCGTCGAGAAGACCTTATGATAGATGACGTTTAGCCCTGTTCTGTCAAATGATCGATGTTATATGTCAAAACGTCAATAGCTAAATTTATATATTTACAACCTTAAAAAAGGTTTGTTGAAAATGTTCTGCATGTGAACAGTAAAATGTCAGTTTTAACATGAGGATTCGACGATCTCACGACTTATTTTTTATGCAGAGTAACCTTCCGTACAATTTGATAATCATAAGAATGGTGAAATTTTACTAAAAAAAAAGAAGAGAAAAAAGAAATGTATGATGCGTGTGCGTATTTTTATGAAGAAGTTTTTAAAATAGAATTTTTTGGAAAGCTATGGATTTTTTGTAGAAATATGGAAAGCATTCTCTTAGATATCAATGACCTCACATATGGTCGAAACTAGATATTAAATTGAAAGGCTCCTCGAATATTGAATCTTTCAAAAAGAACATTAGGAAAAAAGACCTAACGTCACTCTTAAACAACAACAATAGCTGCTGTAACCTTTGCAATTCTTAGAGACTACCTTTTATATACCTACTGTTTTATTATACAATTTATACATGCTACATATTTTAATTGTATATACATTATTATTATTATCTCTTATTTGTAAATAATTTTTATTTTTGTGTCCCCAATTAGTTGTGAAAACTAAATACATTGACACATTAATAAAGCTTTTACTTTACTTACTTTACTTTACTTTGGCCCACTCATAATAAGGATTGAACGCTACGGAAAAAGAGTTTCATCTCCAAGCAGGTGTGCTTATACCCATGGCTTATGACACCACACATTTGTTAAGATTTCTTGATAATTTTACCGTAAGGTTTGTGGCCCAGGTAACTTTTAATACGCATTTGTCTTGTTTTCTTCTCTTTACGTTATTTTCCTCACTTATATGTGTTGTCCGCGACTGTGCTCGGCACGGTGGGTGGCTCCGCCTCCTAAAATGTTCAGCAATTGGCATAGGATTTAATGGAGCTGAAACCAATTGTGGAGTCGCACGCATTTTAGGCATCCTACTGATGAACAGTTGGGACAAGTAGATATATTTTTTAGCAACTACTATAATTTGCAGTCTGTCGACTTTGAATTTATATACATGCAATATTGTCTTTTACACTAGTCCTAGGCTCTACAACCATTCTCTAGTAAAGCTTAGTGTCGTTTCTTCGTTTTATTCCGGAAAGTAGCCGCTGGTCAACTAGAAAGCTTTCACTACTTTGACCACCACACACATTTTATAACCCGTACTGTAATTATTTTATTTTTGTAATCATCTATTGTAGTTATATTTTTCTTTCTATGTTATTCTCTTTAAATCAATTTGTAACATAATCGCAATTAACGTTTTATTGCTAGTGCCACAATAAACCTTGATATCTGGCTCAAATCCCGCGGCTAATTCTTCATAACAAGCTAGCTTTGACGAACCTCTCTGACCAGGGGCACCCAACTAGAATATAGTTCAAAACCACTTAGACATAGCATTTTTAAACGTTTTTTTGGATTTAAACGGTAGATATAGGCATATTTTTATCCCCTAAAAATTTTTCATCTCTTCGGATTTCCCAGCTGAAAGCCTAGTGATCCAAAAATTATAGGGATCAAAACTTACTTTTTCAAAAATTTCCGCTAGAAAAAGGACTCCCGAAAATTCTAGGTGACCTTTTTACAGTAAAAATCCGTAAAAAATGCCATACCATTTTTTAGATGTTCAAAAGTCCTAGGAGAGGCAGGCAAGCAACAAATTTTACAAAAAATGTTCGGAAAATCCTAGATCTCATATCGTCTTCCGAACAGCTATTTCCCAGAAATTGGCTTTGGGTGCCCCTGTTTGACCGAACCTGGATGTTTGGAAAATGACGTCAGTGTATAGCATGACGCCAGAAAAATGGACAGCAACTGAGAAGGTCACACGTCTAGCGGAAAAGTCACACGTCTAGCAAAGAAGAAATAGTACGTCTACTGCATAAAAACAGCAAATACAGCAAAAATACAACTCGAAGAATGACATCTGCTATTTGGAGAGTATCTGCAGATCTAAACATCCCTATATACCATGAAATTGCCGAGAAAAATGAGATGAAGACGGAAACTTAACATCAATCGAGATAAGCATGTTTTACCTTGGTTTTAAACTAAAGATGATTTTGAATAAATGATAAAGAAATAGATTGGGTTTTCATATGATCTGATCCACGTCCTCGATCGTCATAATTCTTCTGATCATACTCAGCCTTATTTAATTAATTTGCTAAACATTTGCAAATATTTTTGTCGTTAATCCAAAATTACTGAAAAAAAAGTCAGTAAGTTTCAATTTTGTATATCATTATTAATATTAAAAGATGGCAGTATCACAACTTTCGTTAACTTCTAATACAACATGGGAAACTAGTAAACTGATCGAGATTGAAAACAAAAGAAAAAATGTTCGAACGTTTTTCGTAACATTCAGGCATCATTGTCCATTGAGATACACAAGCTCCCCACTTTGACCCCCCCGGGAGAGCAGAGCCATGGGTCATCAGTAGTACGTTGCCATGTCAACAACTCCTCACGCAACTCTTTCACTTCAGCCTGATAAGCCGGATTGTTAATTAGGTTTTTCAGCTCTTTAGGGTCAGACTTGAGGTCATACAGCTCCCACTGCGATCGGTAATAGTACTGTTTCAAGGTATGAATCCAGCCCGTCTCTGTACCATTCTTGGTCCGTTCCAAAATATCCATGAATGTAAATGAGGTAAAAATATCCAGGGCAATGGGATAGGGCATCTTGTACCATAAGTTGTGAATCAGTTTGAGATTATTTTTCTGCATCACCCTCATTGGATAGTACATTGTGACTTCATGCAAATCGTGGCTGGCAAATACAGTGTCCCATCCAGAAACTGGTTCTTCTTTCAACACCGGAAGAACAGACTTCCCAGTCAGCTGTACATCATGTGTTCCAAATAATTTGTAAGAAGGATAATCGATGCTAAACCAATCTAAGATGGTTGGTACTATATCCAAAAGGCTCACTGATGCATCGCTAATTTGACCCCAGCGTTTAGTGACGTACGGGGATGATACCAGGTAGGGCTCAGCCATGCCTAATGGTTGAAAAGAAAAAGCCCCACTGGTTTATTGAAAAGCTAAATTAAGGGAACCCTTTTGTGAGATTACAATAATTAGAACCATTTTAGAAACCCCGTTGTTCTACAAACAAACTTTGCACCAAATTCAGTCGGTAGCGATGAGTTTTTAATAACATGATTAATTTAAAAAAATTACAATTTCAAATTCTGAATTACGCACAGAAGGAACCAAAATTAAACCTCGGCTAAAGGGAGAAAACGTGCGATGTAAAAGAAACGTTTGCTGTCATTTACGTACCTGGATTATACAGATTGGTCTTGGCGCCAGGAAACGGGATACCATTATCAGAACTGAATATAACGAGCGTATTTTCCTCAAATCCCGCTTGCCGAAGTTCATCTAAAATTAGTCCAATACCCTGATCCATCCGGCTTATTCCAGTGTACTGATTGGCTATTTCGTTTCTGGCAGCGGGAGTATCTGGTATAAAGTATGGGACAATAACTTCTTCAGGAGAGTAGTGCAAAGGCTTCCAGTCTGGTATCACACCCATGCCTGGCTCACCATTTCCAAATTTCTCACAGAACTCACCTACAACAAAAAGGACGTAGTAAAGTTCATCAGTCCCGATTTTGTTTCTAGTGTGCGAACAACACGGAGAACAAATTTAGTTATTCTTTTGACTTCTCAAAGCCTCGTTTTAAGGTGGAACGCGCTTTTTTTTTGGATCCTGGAGATGCAATCAAGGCAAAGCGAGCAAATTAACACAAATATAGAAGAATGACATATGAGTACCATTTTGGCATTAGTGGCAGAGTTCGAAGGGTTAAAATTTTCCGAAGATTTTTGAAACTATGAGCACATTTTCTAAGATCACGTGTTAGCTCAAGCTATCTTTTTGTACCTAATAAGCTTTCAATTTCCTGGGAAGAATACCCATTACCATGAAACATCTGCCAATATCTGCGACAATCAAAATGTTGATATCTTGTGACGTTGTTAACATCCCTTATAGTTGTTTCTATGAACGGGAAGAAACAAAACGGTGCCGGTGAGAACTGGACTCTTATTATGTAAACACCGTTTTTCGATACGCCTTTTCTTTTCCTCGAAGTCTTTTTTTTCTTTTTGCCTACTTACCGTATTTACCATAAGGGTTACAGCGATGAGGGTCAAAGAAGCCGATATACAAGAAAAATGGACGAGGGTCACTCAGCGATCCTTGGAAAAATTCACGAGCCAAGTCTTTCATGTGTGTTATGTTACGGCCGCATTGCAACAGATTGCAGTTCAGTTCGGTGTAGGAAAACTCAAATGGATAAACCTAAAAAGAGAGTAACAGTGCCACGTTACAATGGGGTTACCAGTAAAGCCATCATTTTCCCTCCCCCCCCCCCCCCCCCTAATCCACCCCTACTGTCCATCGTTACAGAATTTGAAAAACCAACAAACTTAATTCACCCTTGACGCTCAATTACGAATTTACTTTCCACTTTATTTAAACTTCAAAATATCGGAACTTGTTTGGCGCCATTCCCGATCTTTCAAGCAACCGAAACACCAAATATCGAAATGAAGCACACGCTTGCGTGCATGCCTAGAATCTGCTTAGAAACGGTAAGAATATAAATAATTTCCAAGATATTAGCAGACATCAATAAATATTGTGTCAAAAGCGAGGGGAATACTCTTTTATTGTAATCATTACAGTTGTGTTCCGCACCGTCTCAGGCCCAACATGTTTCTTGCCGATGATTCCTGTTCGTATATTTTCCTTTTGTAACAGAAGAGGCAGACTTCTCACTGCGTCAAACGAGTTAAAGTGATGAAAAGTGTGGTGGAGGCCATACATGCCATTTTGATGCTGAGGGAGGCCTGAAGAGGAAATAAAACCCTTCAAATGTGAAAATGGACAATACCCTAAAACATCATTCTCTCTTGCCTAAAAAACAAGATTAGAAGTAATTTTTCACAATTACCAGTACCCATCCTCCTCTCATCCTCTTCTCAATCTGACTCTACTTCCGGTTACTTGCCAAAAATGAGCATGTGTCACATAATGTAAACCTTAAGGGTCCTTAAGGCTTTGAACTTTGGTTGGCAGTTCAGTCTGTAAAAGACGGGTTATATTTTCTGGGGAACAGCACTTGGAGGACAGGGGGAGGGACCGTTGAAGAGAGTAAAACTTTTATTCTTGCAAAAGTATTTTCTTTTTTTATTTCTTCAAGAGGCTAAGCTACAAAAGTGAAGGGTGATGTTATTTTGTTCAAGAGGGTATCAAATTCGGGAAATCTAATCGGGAGAGTAATCAGGGCCTTCCCTTTGTTCGTTCAAGGGTTTCCCGAAAAATATGTCCCGAGAACCTTGTTCGGGTCTAAGTGGGACTCCAACGAGTTATCCTTACCTGTTAAAATGGTTGATCTGCTTGGAGAGCAACTGCTCACTGAGGTAAAACCATTCCTAAATATGACGCTCCGTTCAGCAAGTGCGTTGATGTTGGGAGTTTTGCAGACTGAGTTATTGTACACTTGGGTTTCAAAGCCTGCGTCATCGCCAATCAAAACCAAAACATTCTTTCGTTCATTGGAAAATCCTCGCGTGGAAGGTGCCGAGAAAAGCAAAATTGCTGTGAAAACAAATCCTCGTAAAGTAGAACTAAATGCGTAACTCCGAACATTATGCACTGGATGGTATTGCGAAGCCGTCAAAGTCCTCATCGTGGGTTCGTGAGAGCCAGCAGGCTGTAGGATCACATGACCCGGCTTCGGTTCCTATGGGATATCTTAGGACCCCATAAATATGAACCTACTAAAATGTTAATCCTCGACTCAGCCCTTATTGTGGTGGCTCCAATATTTAGTACATGAAGCAAAAAATTCACATTTTTTTCACATGTTGCATCCTTTTTAAGTCTATGTTGTTGTACGTAAAATACGGAGAAAATTTGATTTTATTCAGGAAAGATTTTGCGGATATCAATTATTAACGATCGTTTGCGCAACCGGAAGCGTGGTTGCTCTGCTCATGACGTGTCTTAGAGAAAGTCAACTATGGCGGTCGGCTTTCGCGCCGAAGCATTTCGAATAATTCTGTTATGCTCTCTGTGGTACACGATCAGCTCAACAAACAATGTTATAGGCAAAAAGTTGCTTATGGATTTTCCCTATCCTGTCACCGTGGCGATGGTTCATCTGCTCTCTACAGCGACATATTTATCACCAACTCTTCACATCTGGAAAGTTCCCCGTATGCCTTCCATACCTAAATCTAGTCTCATTACTTTGATTTTACCACTCTCTTTTGGAAAAGCATTTTCGTCTATAACAAGCCATATTAGTATATGGAAAGTACCTGTTTCATATGCTCATACAGGTAAGACTGTGAAATGATAATAGAGGGTCCATCATTGTAGATTGATGCATTTACTGACATCTACTGGACCCGGCATTCAAACGCCATCAGTCCATGCACGTATACGTCTTTAAACTCAATCCATTGCATAGCTAGGTTGAATACAATGTACTTTGTACAGAAATTCAGTTAACAAAAAAACTTTCCTCATCCTATCTACGAGTGGAATACTTCATATATTTTAAAGTAATTTAATAATTACTAGAAAAGTACCCAGAGGAGGATCGAATAGTATCCCATGATGCATTTTTCCAGAAGCATCACGCAATATCGCAGTCATAGCAGATTCCATCTTGAAATAAGGTCGTTTTCTCGTCGGCTTTTTTCTCACTCGATTTCCAGTAAAAGTAAAAAAATTACATTATTTCGTTATTTGACATGATTTCTCCGATTTGCAATGGCTTAAGAGCGAAGTTTCCACTTAGAAACATTTATTTTCACGGTTTCAATTAGTCTTCCCATCACAAAGTGTTCAGTGACCCACAACCAGGTCAAGAATATTCAAGGTTTTTTGGAATATATGTTGAAATCTTACAAATGTGGACCTTACGCCAGCAAAATGAAGTCCTGAATATTGTACAGGCCAAGAAGTACCCAGAAGTACCCACATTTTGAAGACTTTTTTGTCCACCAAAGATGGCTGAAATTTCGAATCTTTTATCACATTTCAACGCCATGTGTCATAATAATGTGTAAAGCCTGATGAAGGCTACAATCTGTTGGGCGCTTTTGAGAGCGCTTTATGCCGAAGCAATCACTTTGTATTTTTCAAAGAGGTTATTTTTAAAAGGAATTTGACTAGAATTATTTTAATTCGAAGAAGGAGCGGTGTATAACGGTGTGTTTCAGTGTGAAAAGAACCCAAAGAAAGTAACCACGCAGCATGCAAGCCGGCACAACGTAAACAGGCCTGCTCAGAATTTGAAAAAGAAACATCATGCAGAAACTTTATTTATTCAAAAGAACAGATCAGTATTCTGGCCAGGAAATTTCCTTGAACATTGCTTGAGTCAGTACCGGGTAGACTGTGCTTCAGAGAATTGTTTGTCGCATCGATAGGTTAAATTTTATTTGTAACTGCCATTGTAAACTTCAGCTCCTTTGAGCGCGATGCTGTAATAAATTATCCTTTGGTAATTAGCTTCACAGCGTAGCGGATGTTTTGTTGGAACCACTTTATAGATCAGTCATAGTTTTGGTTCTCCTCTGGCCTGGGTTCTCCTAGTGAACCTAGCGAAGCTTATCAATTGCGAGTCTTATAATTTGTGTTTACAGTGCGACCGAGCGCGGCACAAGTAGTTCTCGACAGATCAGTGAAATACATGTAAAACCCTTCTCAGTCAAAGCAACGCTGAAATTCTCCTTTAAAGCACAGTGAATATATTTTGAATCTCAAAAGCAGAAGCTGCTGAACCGAAACATGTTTGGAAACCATCCACATCGAGCACTGCGATCGATGTTCACTTCGCGCGTGCTGAAGGTTACTGATCATAATGTGTCACGTACACAGTGATAATATAACATGAATCGAGGTGCATCATGGGATACTATTCGACCGTCGTCTGAAAAGTACCGTAAAATTCCGAAAATAGGCCACTGGGCTTTTATTTTTCAAAGGCCCTTCTTGAGGGGCTTATTTTTGAAGGGGCTTATGTTCGGATCATAATTGGCTAGGCTTATAGTTGGAGGGAAATTTGCGTCTCAAAATCGATTGGGCTAGCTTATAGTTGGAAGGAAATTTAGGTCAGTAATTTGCAGAAAGGTTTTAGGGTTAGGGTCGCCCTGGGGATGTAGAGCTTTCTAAAAAACGCAGCCATGCAAGTACTTTGTCTGAATGGACTGAGGAAATCCAAACCCAGAATGAAGAGTGACTACGCAAACAGCAATGAAGTTTAACACTTTCTGACTGCAATCATCTGGCACGTGTATAGTTCTTTGGCAAATACAAAAATTTGTATGTTACTGTACCGTTATTGCTTTGTGCTACTTTGCGTTTGAGGGCAATTTCCAAGTACAATATATTCAGAAGGGAGGGGGGTTGTGTTACGAGTTTGGGGGCCTTATACATGGAGGGACTTATTTTCGGAATTTTACGGTATTACAGTGCTTAGATTTTTACTCAACCACCGTTTTGTTAAGATCAAGGACAAGACTTAGTTACTATATTTTGAAAATTTAATATTTGTGTGGATTTAGAACAGTCATTTTAAAATACCATATTTAGAAGATGGCAGTCCTCACAATTGAATTTTTTTTACTGGATGTTTGCTTGTAGAAGCCACAGACTTGATTGTTTACAAAGGCAACAAAAGCCTTTACAGTATTAGTCTCCTTCACAGCCATTTTTTGTCAAAGAACGCTCGTTCTCGATCCTTCTTGTGAGGAGGAGCATTGCTTGACATACAGAAAATGGCTGCCAGTTGTGACATAGTAATCACAGGTTCTAAGTGCTGGTTTTTGTTTTTATTTCCTCTTATTTCTCTCTTGGACATACTTCTTCAACATCCCTTAAAAGTTAAGGTGAGTGTGAGAATGTTTTCCATTATTGATTTTTTAAATAACTATACTTATTCACATTTAATTGTCAACCGTAGAAGGTGATGTGCATGCCTACATCATGCTTGCATTTAAATAAAACTCCTTCTTCTTTCTTTCTTTGATAAGCATTGTTACTAAATACTCTTCATAGCGCTTGTTCTATTTTTTTCCTGTTTGTGTTTTGAATAAACATTATTCTGTTTGTTTCACAAGTTGGATACAAGTAGATACTTTGTGCATGGGACATATTTTGCACAGCTCATGTCTAGGCCAGTTGTGAATGAGCTTCTTATGTCACCTTTTATAATCCAGGTGTTGTTTAAACAAAATACAACAATATTACTCATTGGGTTACAATGTATGTTGCTCATGGTATTGCTGGTATTGTTTAAGAACATGTAGATGGATCAGTTAATTTACTTAATAAAATTGATTTGCTTCTAACAGGCAACTATGCCAGTCTTCACAGTTATTCTTTCAAGATTAATTTTAGGAGAGTCACAGTCTCCAGAGGTGAGTAAATGTGGATTTACGATCATTCACTGAGCATTTCAACCCTCAATTTTTTTGCATAGTAAAATAATACTGATTGGATTCATTTATTTTGTCACGTACTCTGCAGGTGTATTGCTCATTAATTCCTGTTGTTGGTGGAGTGATGATAGCAACTGCAACTGAAATATCTTTTGATTTTATTGGCCTTGTCAGTGCATTGCTAGCCACATTCACTTTTTCTATACAAAATATATTTACGAAAAAGGTGAGTACTTCTGCTTACGCATGTTACTTGATTAAAATTCCATAAGTAGTGGTCAGCACTCACTGAGTTTGCCTGTTCCTGAGGAACTCAGATAGTGAAGGGTAGGCAAAATAGAAATGCAATGAAAACTTTGTGGTAACAAACATCCCCGATTTCCCTTCATCTTTATTTATCCACCCTCAATTATCTGCAAGCTTGGAGAAAGCTGTCGCTGGGTTTAGAAGGCATTGCACATTAATAACATTGTTAACATGATTATTGATATTATTAATATACGAAAATACTCCTAAATAGCTATATTTCTTTACATTACATTCTCTGATTTCATGCTCAGATTAAAGAAGTCTACTCATTTACCACCTTCACGTATATTGACACTTCAAGGGTCCGCACAGTGTGCAAATCCCTTCCCAGTTGGGGAAACACATATCACTAAAAGAAACGTGTTTCCAGGTGGGGGAACACATATCACTAGGGATATGTGTTTCCCAGGTGGGGGAACACAAATCAGTAGGGATACGTGTTTCCCAGGTGGGGAAACACATATCACTAGGGATATGTGTTTCCCAGGTGAGGGAACACATATCACTAGGGATACGTGTTTCCCAGGTGGGGGAACACATATCACTAGGGATACGTGTTTCCCAGGTGGGGGAACACATATAACTAGGGATACGTGTTTCCCAGGTGGGGGAACACATATCACTAGGGATACGTGTTTCCCAGGTGGGGGAACACATATCACTAGGGATACGTGTTTCCCAGGTGGGGGAACACATATAACTAGGGATACGTGTTTCCCAGGTGGGGGAACACATATCACTAGGGATACGTGTTTCGCAGGTGGGGGAAGACATATCACTAGGGATATGTGTTTCCCAGGTGGGGGAACACATATCACTAGGGATATGTGTTTCCCAGGTGGGGGAACACATATCACTAGGGATACGTGTTTCCCAGGTGGGAGAACACATATCACTAAAGATATGTGTTTCCCAGGTGGGGAAACACATATCACTAGAGATACGTGTTTCCCAGGTGGGGGAACACATATCACTAGGAATATGTGTTTCCCAGGTGGGGGAACACATATCACTAGGGAAACAGGTTTCCAGGTGGGGAAACACATATCACTAGGGATATGTGTTTCCCAGGTGGGGAAACACATATCACTAGGGATACGTGTTTCCCAGGTGGGGGAACACATATTTCTAGGGATATGTGTTTCCCAGGTCGGGGAACACATATAACTAAAGATACGTGTTTCCCAGGTGGGGAACACATATCACTAGGGATATGTGTTTCCCAGGTGGCGGAACACATAGAACTAGGGATACGTGTTTCCCAGGTGGGGGAAGACATATTACTAGGGATACGTGTTTCGCAGGTGGGGGAATACATATCACTAGGGATATGTGTTTCCCAGGTGGGGGAAGACATATCACTAGGGATACGTGTTTCCCAGGTGGGGGAACACATATCACTAGGGATACGTGTTTCCCAGGTGGGGGAACACATATCACTAGGGATATGTGTTTCCCAGGTGGGGGAACACATATTACTAGGGATACGTGTTTCCCAGGTGGGGGAACACATATCACTAGGGATACGTGTTTCCCAGGTGGGGGAATACATATTTCTAGGGATATGTGTTTCCCAGGTCGGGGAGCACATATAACTAGGGATACGTGTTTCCCAGGTGGGGGAACACATATAACTAGGGATATGTGTTTCCCAGGTGGGGGAACACATATCACTAAAGATATGTGTTTCCCAGGTGGGACAACACGTATCACTAGGGATATGTGTTTCCCAGGTGGGGAAAGACATATCACTGGGGATCTGTGTTTCCCAGGTGGGGAAACACATATCACTAGGGATACGTGTTTCCCAGGTGGGGGAACACATATTTCCAGGGATATGTGTTTCCCAGGTCGGGGAACACATATAACTAGGGATACGTGTTTCCCAGGTGGGGGAGCACGTATCACTAGGGATAGGTGTTTCCCAGGTGAGGGAAAACATATCACTAGGGATACGTGTTTCCCAGGTGGGAGAACACATATCACTAGTGATATGTGTTTCCCAGGTGGTAGAACACATATCACTAGGGATACCTGTTTCCCAGGTGGGGGAACACATATCACTATGGAAATGTGTTTCCCCGGTGGGGAAACACATATCACTAGGGATACTTGTTTCCCACGTGCGGGAACACATATCACTAGGGATATGTGTTTCCCAGGTGGGGGAACACATATCACTAGGGATATGTGTTTCCCAGGTGGGGAAACACATATCACTAGGGATACGTGTTTTCAAGGTGGGGGAACACATATTTCTAACGATATGTGTTTCCCAGGTCGGGGAACACATATAACTAGGGATACCTGTTTCCCAGGTGGGGGAACACATATAACTAGGAATGCGTGTTTCCCAAGTGGGGGAACACATATCACTAAAGATATGTGTTTCCCAGGTGGGGGAACACATATCACTAGGGATACGTGTTACCCAGGTGGGAGAACACATATCGCTAGGGATATGTGTTTCCCAGGTGGGGCAACACATATCACTAAAGATATGTGTTTCTTAGGTGGGGGAACACATATCACTAGGGATACATGTTTCCCAGGTGGGGGAACACATATCACTAGGGATATGTGTTTCCCAGGTGGGGAAACACATATTACTAGGGATACTTGTTTCCCAGGTGGGGCAACACATATCACTAAAGATATGTGTTTCTCAGGTGGGGGAACACATATCACTAGGGATACATGTTTCCCAGGTGGGGGAGCACATATCACTAGGGATATGTGTTTCCCAGGTGGGGAAACACATATTACTAGGGATACTTGTTTCCCAGGTGGGAGAACACATATTACTAGGGATACGTGTTTCCCAGGTTGGGGAACACATATCACTAGGGATATGGGGTTCTCAGGTAGGGGAACACATATTTCTAGCGATACGTGTTTCTCAGGTGGTTGAACACATATCACTAGGGATATGTGTTTCCCAGGTGGGGAAACACATATCACTAGGGATACGTGTTTCCCTGGTGGGGAAACACATATCACTAGGGATATGTGTTTCTCAGGTGGAGGAACACATATCAATAGGGATACGTGTTTCCCAGGTGGGAGAACACATATCACTAGGGATATGTGTTTCCCAGGTGGGGCAACACATATTACTAGGGATACCTGTTTCCCAGGTGGGGGAACACATATCACTAAAGATATGTGTTTCCCAGGTTGGGGAACACATATCGCTAGGGATACGTGTTTCCTAGGTGGGGGAACACATATCACTAGGGATACGTGTTTGTTAGGTAGGGGAACACAGATTACTAGGGATACTTGTTTCTCAGGTAGGGGAACACATATCACTAGTGATACGTGTTTCTCAGGTTGGGGAACACATATCACTAGGGATATGTGGTTCTCAGGTAGGGGAACACATATCTCTAGGGATATGTGTTTCCTAGGTGGGGGAACACATATCACTAGGGATATGTATTTCCCAGGTGGGGGAACACATATCACTAGGGATAAGTGTTTCCCAGGTAGGGGAACACATATCTCTAGGGATATGTTTTTCCCAGGTGGGGAACACATATCACTAGGGATACCTGTTTCCCGGGTGGGGGAACACATATGACTAGGGATATGTGGTTCTCAGTTAGGGGAACACATATCTCTAGGGATATGTGTTTCCCAGGTGGGGGAACACATATCACTAGGGATATGTGGTTCTCATGTGGGGGAACACAGATCACTAGGGATACGTGTTTCTTAGGTGGGGGAACACATATCACTAGTGATACGTGTTTCCCAGGTGGGGAACACATATCACTAGGGATATGTGTTTCCCAGGTTTGGGAACACATCACTAGGGATACGTGTTTCCCTGGTGGGGGAACACATATCACTTAGGATATGTGTTTGCGAGGTAGTCGAACACATATTACTAGGGATATGCGTTTTTCCTAGGTGTTGGAACACATATCACAAAAAAATTGACACACCTTCTTTGTAACGACTTTCCAAGTTTCAGCCGACAGAGGGCAAAGGAATGGGTAAATAAAGTAAATTTTTTGAGTTTTGAAGGCGAAAAGTTTTCCATATTCGTGCTTGCGTGATCAGTGCGAGAAAAGCAAAGGATCTTGATGCCACAACTTTGCCACAACCCTGTTTACATACTCTCATACAAACACTCCTGCAGGGTTCTCAATAGAAGGCGGCACCCGGCGATTGATCGCCGCTTACTTTGGGATTTATAGCCGCTTTCTTTGTGTTTAAGTCGCTTTTCTTTGCTTTGTTTTGACACCTCTGGCTTTGCTGAAGAGCCTCCTACTTTATCAGTGATCACCTCCTACTTAAAAATCTATTGAGAACCCTGACTCCTCTCGGCCAATCAGAGGGTGCGTACTATCTTAGTTATTTAATAATTACAGGTATAGTATTAATAATTACAATGCTCTACATTCTATTTGTCATGCACACTGACATTGGACAAGAGATATAACCACCTTCATTGCATTTTTGGTTACGCACAATTATGGGGGCAATGTGTCAGTACTCCGTTTGTTTCATTGCCCCTGTTTATATTTTATAAATTATTGTTTTTTTATTTCTTAGGCAATGAGGGACTTGCGTCTTAATCATTTGCGTTTATTACTGTTGATGGCAATTATAGCATCAGCAATGTTAATACCATTTTGGGCGTTGTATGATTTACGAAGAGTTATTTTAGTAATTGAATCGGTAAGTGTCTTACTGCTGGCGTGGTAGTATTAGAGACTTTCTATTTTACTGTCCTGTTGTAACTATTTATTGTTAATAATTTTCACTTTTTTGCATTGATTGATTGATTGGTTTACTTTTATCTGAATTCGGTAATTTCATAAGTTACAAACTTTGTTACATGAAAGCCATATTGAAACACGGTCAATATGTACAGTTGATAAAATCTAGTCAACAAACTTTTTGCCGGCTGGCCAGTTTACTACTAAGAATAACTTCAGACTCAGATGCCTTTATTTCAGTTAGCAGTGAATTCCGCAACATTCCTCCTCCTATATATGAGAATGACCCTTTGTAATATTCTGTTTTCCAGTGCAACATTATATTCTTTGTTTCTTGCATGTTAGTAGCTTATATTATGACTTATATAATATAATGGTTGTCCTTTCATGCATTTGTTGCTGTTTTTGCAGGGTGAACAAGATCTTCTATGGCTACTTGTCATTCTGACATTAAATGGATTTTTAAATTTCGCTCAGAACATGGTTGCCTTCACAGTTCTGTCGCTGGTGACCCCATTAAGCTATTCTGTTGCTGCTTCAACCAAGAGAATCCTTGTAATAACTGTATCCATTGTGTTATTGCGTAATCCAGTCGGTGTCATCAATGTGCTTGGGATGTTTGTCGCTATATTTGGAGTATTTCTTTATAATAAGGTGAGTGATGCGCGCGCAGCAGTGGAGTGGCCCTGTGGACCCCCTTACATCCTCTCTTCCTACCCTTCGGGCAAGAATGGGGAGAATGGATAACAATGACTTTTAACGAATAGGATTTCAAACATCTGTATCAAAAGCAAAACCCTTTAGTAGAATGCTCTCGTACCCTCCTCTAATCAAAAATATTAGTGGGTTTCTTTTACTTTCAGGACTCATAAAAAACTTAAGTTTGGAAACATTCCAAGTAATTGGTATATCCCTATGACAAAATCGTTTAGAACCGAGAGCCAACACTTCTGAAGAATGGCTAAAATGTTACGGGTCAAAACTGAATTCAGGTTAAATTTTTTTTAACCTAGGTTGATTCTAAATTTCCTTTGTCTCCTAGCCCTAATTCGTGATTAATTTGGTGCAGTAGACAAAGGAAATTTAGAATCAACCAAGGTTAAACATTTTTAAACTGAAATGGATTTTGACCTGCAATAGCTATACCATAATACTTCACGGCCCACAACGATGTTTGAGCTCAATGTCAGGCTAATAACGTCCAAGGTTATATTTTATCCGAGCTTTAATTGGTAGAATTATAGCATTACCAGGCAATTAAACTCGAGATTACCAAGAAAACAACTCCAGATACTGAACTCAGGCCTGTGAAGTTAGGGTTATAATTCTGCCATCCCTTACCACTTGACAGTGCTGCCTCCCCCCAATTGGTTCATGAGGTTTGACACACATAATCCTTTAACCGACTCTTCTGTATTTTTAGGCAAAATATGAGGCCAACAAAAGAAAACATGAACTACCTTTGCACACAAAACATAACGCAACTCCAAACCATGTGAGCAACAATCATGCGCACTATCATGTGATCTGAGTGATGGGAAGGTTCTCAATTCGATGGGATGCAACAAACACGATGGACAATCTGTAGGCGGATGATCTGGCAATACTCATAGTCAGAGTTACTTGTATTGTGGGTGATTGGATGCCACATAATGGTGCTGGTGTTTCTTGCGGCATGTCAGCGTCACACAATGCTACATAAGCCAGATAGAACGTTAAACTACCGTGGGATGAACCTGATGCTTATAAGTGAGAATAGTTAGGTTTGTCCTTTGTGAAGTTCGACGTTAAAACAGGGCCTCATAATTCATCAAAGTTCATCAATTTTGGTGGCTGCTGTTGCTCAGTTTTGATCAGTTAATTTGAGGCGGTAATAATTGCAGTTGATGCACGAAAAGAGAGAGATGGAGAAGATATGCACAACAGTGATATAAACAGTGGATTCTTTTATTTAGGAGGGATTATTTAAGAAAAAAAAATTGAAGAACGCTGGGGCTACAGAGGTGCTTTAGTTAATATACAAGATCATTAGACGTTCAATCTCAAGCCAAAATCCTAAGAATCGACCTCTTTAGCTTGTATGTTTTGTTTTCCCAGTACAGGTCATGTAATAATACTCTAGAGAACTGTTTTACATAATTTATGGAAATTGAAATGATCAGACAAAGGGAGTCAAGTTTTACTGGGACGTCTATAGGGAAAAATCATACAATCTAAAGAGGTCTATTCAAGAGAAGGGACGTAATTTGACACACCTCCCCTTCACTGTCCCCTTCCCGAAAAAAAATCTGTTTTCTCCCCAGATTTTGCTCGATAAATAATACATGGTTTGGACCTCACGATCGAATTTGACCCTTGTTAATATAACCTCCCGATTTAGAGGAATTTATTAGAGTGTTCGGGCTCTGATCTATTTTTTGAAAGCAAGAGAGGACGTAGGAAACTTATTAAATCTTGCGTTAATTCAGACGACACGTGGGCCAAAAAAACTGAAATAGTTTTTTGTTGTGGCCTGTGTCAATCAGTCAATTTTGTTGTTGGCTTTGTAGCCAGGTCCGGTGAACGTGTGCTGAAAAGAAAAAGAACAAGGTGAAATGCCCTTAAAAATAAAACAACTTCAATTTTAACACGGAGTCGCAAAGATTCTATTGGAAAAGATTATTGTCGTTTCACCTAGTACAGTTTATGTTGGAAAACTTTTCTTGTCTTTTTTTTAAATTTTGCTCCTGTTACATCTCTGTTTCTGAGTTCGCTGATGACAGACGATGAGTATTTATTACTGTATTTATCTATTTATTTTGTTTTTTGATGAAGGAAACATATGTGCTGACTATGCAAATTTGAAAAAAATTATTGAATGAGGTTTTGCTATGACTGGGATAATCAGGGTCTTGGTAAGTGTTATCAGCCTCGGCCTTCAGCTCGGATGATAACACTTATCAGTACCTTGACTTTTCGAGATATTAGAAAACAATCGAATCTAATAAATGTTTCGTGAAAGGTTTGAACCTAGGAGCCATTTCATAAGTAGGTTGAGTGTGATCTTCCGGGTGAACTTTGTCGTGAACAGGACTGTTTTTGTTAACAGTGACTGACCTTTTGACAACCTGTGCGGTTGTCATCTTTAGAGTCAAAGTGAGTCGTATCACGTCAGTTGACGGTATTAAACTCTCGTCATTGACGTGATTGTCAATTAAGTCGCGGTAGGTCAAAATCGTTAACCTACCCTAAAGGGGAAGGTCAACGATTTTCTTCAAAAATTGGAAATTTTCCATTGTAAAGTTTTCAAAAAAGATGGAAAGAAAGGCTTTCTAGGCTTATAAAAAAGCTTTTTAAAAAATTGACAAAAAATTGAATTTTCAACTTCACGATTTTGGTCAAATATTGCAAATTTTGAATTTTTCCAAAGGGGTTAGTCCACGGTTTTGGTCAAAAATTATAAATTTTTCCATTGTTTGTTTTTCGAAAAAAATAAGCCTTGAAATATATTTTAATTGATATTCTAGATGGAAAGAGAGGCTTTCTAGACTATCAAAATGCTTCTTTAAAAAAGTGAAAAAAATTAATTTGAATTTTTCCCAAGGGGTTAGTCCACTGTTTTGCTCAAAAATTCGAAATTTTTCCATCCTTTGCTTTTCCAAAAAATAAGCCTACAAATATATTATAATTGATATTCTAGATAGAAAGTAAGGCTTTGTAGACTATAAAATCCTTTTTTGAAAAGGTTAAAAAAAATTGAATTTTCCCAAAGGTTTTGGTCAAAAATTTTTCCACTGTTTGTTTTTCGAAAACATAAGCCTTGAAATATATTTTAATTGATATTCTAGATGGAAAGAAAGGCTTTCAAGACTATACAAATGCTTTTTCAAAAAAGTGAAAACCTAAATTTTTCCAAAGGGGTTAGTCCACGATTTTGCTTAAAAATTCGAATTTTTTTCATTCTTTGTTTTTTCGAAAAAAAAAGCATGGAAATATCTTTTGTTGATATTCTAGATAGAAAGAAAGGCTTTCTGGACTGTAAAAATGCTTTTTTAAAAAAGTGAAAAAATTGAATTTTTCCAAAAAGGTTGGTCCACGGACTTGTTCAAAAATTTGAAATTTTTCCATTGTTTGTTTTTCAAAATAATAAGCCTACCTAACCCTTTGCAAAAATTCAATTTTTTTCCACTGTTTAAAAACAGCATGGGCCCTTTTTGACCAAAACCATGGGTTAACCCCTTTGGAAAAATCTCAACTTTTCGTCTTTTTGAACTTCTTCTTTTTATAGGCTAGAAAGGCGTCTTTTCGTTCTAGAATATTGTAAAACACATTTTCCTGGCCTATATTGCCCAAGAAAACCAGATGGAAAAATGGCCATTTTTGACTAAAACCATGGGTTAACCCCTTAAGAAAAATCTCAATTTTTCGACTTTTTGGACCTGTTGTTTTTATAGGCTAAAAAGGCGTTTTTTTGTTCTAGAATATTGTAAAACACATTTTCCTGGCCTATATTGCAAAAAAAAAGACCTGGAAAAATGGCCATTTTTTGACCAAAACTATGGGTTAACCCCTTTGGAAAAATCTCAATTTTTCGACTTTTTTAACCTGTTGTTTTTATAGGCTAGACAGGCGTTTTTTTGTTCTGGAATATTGTAAAACACATTTTCCTGGCCTATATTGCAAAAAAAAAAAAAGACATGGAAAAATGGCCATTTTTTGACCAAAACCATGGGTTAACCCCTTTGGAAAAATCTCAATTTTTCGACTTTTTGAACCTGTTGTTTTTATAGGCTAGAAAGGAGTTTTCTCGTTCTAGAATATTGTAAAACACATTTTCCTGGCCAATATTGCCTAAAAAAAAGACATCGAAAATAGCTATTTTTTAACCAAAACCATGGGTTAACCCCTTTCAAAAATTCTCAATTTTTCGACTTTTTGAACCTGTTGTTTTTATAGGCTAGAAAGACGTTTTTTCGTTCTAGAATATTGTAACACACATTTTCCTGGCCTATATTGCCTAAAAAAAAAACACGTAAAAATGGCCATTTTTTGACCAAAACCATGGGTTAACCCCTTTGGAAAAATCTCAATTTTTCGACTTTTTGAACGTGTTATTTTTATAGGCTAGAAAGGCGTTTTTTTGTTCTAGAAGATTGTAAAACACATTTTCCTGGCCTATATTGCCTAAAAAAAAGACATGGAAAAATGGCCATTTTTTGACCAAAACTATGGGTTAACCCCTTTGCAAAAATGTCAATTTTTCGACTTTTTAAACCTGTTGTTTTTAAAAATTTTTTTGTTCAAAATATTGTAAAACGTTTTTTTATTCAAAAAATAACACGAAAATATTTTTTTGTAAAACACATTTTCCTGGCCTATATTGCCTAAAAATAAAAATCGGCGATTTTTTGACCGAAACCATGGGTTAACCCTTTGGAAAAATCTCAATTTTTCGACTTTTTGAACTTTTTTTTATGGGCTAGAAAGGCGTTTTTTTTGTTCTAGAATATTGTAAAAATATTTTCCTGGCCTAAAAAAAGAAATGGAAAAAATGGCATTTTTTGACCAAAACTATGGGTTAACCCTTTTGCAAAAAATTTTTTCGACTTTTTAAACTATATTGCCTCCTAAAAAAAAAATGGAAAAATGGCGATTTTTTGACCAAAACCATGGGTTAACCCCTTTGAAAAATCTCAATTTTTCGACTTTTTTGAACTTCTTTTTTTATGGGCTAGAAAGGCGTTTTTTTCTAGAATATTGTAAAAAAAACATTTTCCTGACCTATATTGCCTAAAAAAAAAACGAAAAAAAATGGCCATTTTTACCGAAACCATGGGTTAACCCCTTTGGAAAAATCTCAATTTTTCGACTTTTTGAACTTTTTTTTGGGCTAGAAAGGCGTTTTTTTTTCTAGAATATTTTAAAACATTTTCCTGGCCTATATTGCCTAAAAAAAAACATTGAAAAAAAATGCCATTTTTTACCAAAACCATGGGTTAACCCTTTTGAAAAAAATCTCAATTTTTTTTGACTTTTTGAACTTCTTTTTTTTTTGGGCTAGAAAGGCGTTTTTTTTCTAGAATATTGTAAAAACCATTTTCCTGGCCTATATTGCCTAAAAAAAAAACAACGACAAAATGGCCATTTTTTTTAGAACTACCAAAACCATGGGTTAACCCCTTTGGAAAAATCTCAATTTTTCGACTTTTTGAACTTCTTTTTTTTATGGACTAGACAGGCGTTTTTTTCTTCTAGAATATTGTAAAACAAATTTTCGTGCCCTATATTGCCTAAATAGAAGACATGGAAAAATGGCCATTTTTTGACCAAAACCATGGGTTAACCCCTTTGGAAAAATTTCAATTTTTCGACTTTTTGAACGTGTTATTTTTATAGGCTAGAAAGGCGTTTTTTTGTTCTAGAAGATTGTAAAACACATTTTCCTGGCCTATATTGCCTAAAAAAAAGACATGGAAAAATGGCTATTTTTTGACCAAAACTATGGGTTAACCCCTTTGCAAAAATGTCAATTTTTCGACTTTTTAAACTTGTTGTTTTTATAAGCTAGAAAGGCGTTTTTTTGTTCGAGAATATTGTAAAACACATTTTCCTGGCCTATATTGCCTAAAAAAAACACATGGAAAAATGGCGATTTTTTGACCAAAACCATGGGTTAACCCCTTTGGAAAAATCTCAGTTTTTCGACTTTTTGAACTTCTTTTTTTATGGGCTAGAAAGGCGTTTTTACTCTCTAGAATATTGTAAAAAAGAGTTTCCTGACCTATATTGCCTAAAAAAAAGAAAACGAAAAAATGGCCATTTTTTTACCGAAACCATGGGTTAACCCCTTTGGAAAAATCTCAATTTTTCGACTTTTTGAACTTCTTTTTTTTATGGGCTAGACAGGCGTTTTTTTCTTCTAGAATATTTTAAAACACATTTTCCTGGCCTATATTGCCTAAAAAAAAGACATTGAAAAATGGCCATTTTTTTACCAAAACCATGGGTTAACCCCTTTGGAAAAATCTCAATTTTTCGACTTTTTGAACGTGTTGTTTTTATAGGCTAGAAAGGCGTTTTTTTGTTCTAGAAGATTGTAAAACACATTTTCCTGGCCTATATTGCCTAAATAAAAGAGACGAAAAAATGGCCATTTTTTGACCAAAACCATGGGTTAACCCCTTTGGAAAAATCTCAATTTTTCGACTTTTTAAACCTGTTGTTTTTATAAGCAAGAAAGGCGTTTTTTTGTTCGAGAATATTGTAAAACACATTTTCCTGCCTATATTGCCTAAAAATAACACGTGGAAAATCGGCGATTTTTTGACCGAAACCATGGGTTAACTTTGGAAAAATCTCTGTTTTTCGACTTTTTGAACTTCTTTTTTTATGGGCTAGAAAGGCGTTTTTACGCTCTAGAATATTGTAAAAAACAGTTTCCTGACCTATATTGCCTAAAAAAAAAAAAACGAAAAAATGGCCATTTTTTTACCGAAACCATGGGTTAACCCATTTGGAAAAATCTCAATTTTTCGACTTTTTGAACTTCTTTTTTTTATGGGCTAGAAAGGCGTTTTTTTGTTCTAGAATATTGTAAAACACATTTTCCTGGCCTATATTGCCTAAAAAAAAGACAAAAAAATGGCCATTTTTTGACCAAAACTATGGGTTAACCCTTTTGCAAAAATCTCAATTTTTCGACTTTTTAAACCTGTTGTTTTTATAGGTTAGAAAGGCGTTTTTTTTTTCTAGAATATTGTAAAACACATTTTCCTGGCCTATATTGCCTAAAAAAGAGACATGGAAAAATGGCCATTTTTTGACCAAAACCATGGGTTAACCCCTTTGGAAAAAGCTCAATTTTTCGACTTTTTGAACTTCTTTTTTTATGGGCTGGAAAGGCGTTTTTT